AAGACTCAAGTCCAACAATATGTTGACTTGGTTGCTAAGGGCCCATTCAGCCAATTGACTGATTTGGATTTGTACTTTGAAGCTAATCGTAGATATTACAGATTCAACATCAAGTTGCCAATCGTTCCACACAAGTTTGTTGAACCATTGGTCATCCAAGGTGCTGAAAACTTCTTTAAACAATGGCACGCAATTGGAAAGGAACAAGAAGTCCAAAAGATTTTCCCATGCACTCCTGTATATTCTGATGTAAATGCCTGTGCTAAGGTTTTGTCTGAAGGTTTCCGTTTGGCCATTTTGACTGGTATTGACAATCCAAGTAATATTGTTGCTGCTGGTTCTTTCTTCTATGATCCTGTTGGTAAGGTTAACGTTTTATTACGTCTTGAATACAATGCTCCAAAGCAAGCTTACAGATTAACTGTCAAGGCTCAAGATGCCACTATTGCTCAACAAGTTTTCAATTACATCTTACAAGAACTCACCTCCCAATAATTTAAATAAACCTAATTTATTTACTTAGTGTAAAATGATTAATCTATTATTTGAGCTAGCTCCAATTAGAGATTTGCAGCCTATTTATTGGAGGTCTTTCATTTAGAACTCATCTTTGTTCATAACAGAGCTCAAAATAAATTACTCCAAAGTATTATTTGGAGATAGGTAGGCTTCTTGATTGATTGTCAAGGTAATATTATCATTGTTTCTTGTTGGTGTTTTGGGTTCATTCAATGTTTCAAGATTTGCAGAATTTTTCTTTTGTAAAATGTTTAAACTTGTTCTCAACATGTCAGTGAAGGATGGAACAAGAGCTGGAGTGTGATGTTTCTCATGCAACATGTAAGCAATACATTCACCTTTTCCTTTCACATTTAAATGTCTTTCTTCAAAAGTGAAACCCAAATCATAAACTCTTTCATAGGTTGATCTGGAAATTTGAATTCTTCCTGGAATTGAATTAGATTCCATTCTTGAAGCTGTATTAATTGTATCTCCCCATAAATCCTATTTAATTAATATTCAATTAATAATCAAATAATAATAAGTGAAAATGTACACAAATAATACACATTGCCATTGTTAAATTAAAAATGTTAAAATTAAAAACATACATAGGCAAATTTCTTCCTCCCAATAACACCTGCAATAACACTTCCAGTATTAATACCAACACGAATATTAATTTGTTCAGATGGTTGTTTTCCTGATTTGGAATTAAATCTTTGTAAAACATCAAATGTATCAATGGAAAATCTCAAAATTCTTTCAGGATGATCTGATTGTGCATTTAATCCATGTAATCCACCCACACAAAAATATGAATCTCCAATCGTTTTAATCTTTTCCAAATTATATTTGTCTGTCAAATCATCAAATCCAATTACAATTTCATTCAACATTTGAACCAATTCAGATGCTTGAATTCCAGTACTTAATTTTGTAAATCCAACCATATCACTAAAAAAACATGAAACATCATTGAATTTCTCTGCAATATAAGTTTCTCCTGATTTCAATTTACTTGCTACTGCACTTGGTAAAATATTCAATAATAATTCTTCAGAATGTTTCTTTTCTTCTGTCAATAATGAATTATGTTTCTTCTCTGTTGTAATATCCTTAATGAAACAAGTGACAATACTTTGAGAATTGTGAAGAGTGGCAAAAATATTGACACGTGATGGGAAGCTTGTTTGATTCTTTCTGATACATTCCAATTCAATAGAATCTCCTTTCGAATCACCTCTTGCTGCATTCACTAACATTTCATCAATGAGGTTTTTAATTTTCGATTGCTCATTCTTTTCAAATAATTGATACAATGATCTGCCAATCGTTTCTGTTTGATTATATCCAAATATCTTTTGAGCTGCTGGATTGAATATTTCAATATCAACCTTCTCTCCACTGCACATCACTGCTCCATCTACAGATGCGTTCAAAATGCTTCGAACTTTTGAGTCGCCCTCTGATG